AGTTGTAGAGAGCGATGAGGTCTCCCCTCAGCCTCCTTTTCTCCAGGCTAAACAACCCCAGTTCCCTCAGCCACTCCTCAGAAGACTTGTTCTCCAGACCCCTCACCAGCCTCGTTGCCCTTCTCTGGACACGCTCCAGCACCTCGACGTCCTTCTTGTAGTGAGGGGCCCTCACTCTTCCGAAGACCATCACCAGACCTGCGCTCCGGTTTCCATACAATATCTCCACAACCTTAGGAACAGCACGGCCAGGGTCAGGTCCAAAATGCAATACCGGGAATCCCTAGTAGGGAATCACGGATAAAAGCAAGCACAGACCCCCCAGCCCCAGCGTTAGGTATGAGCTCAGTACTAGGGGGGACCCGCAGGTTAAATCTAGTCTCCCACAACGACAGCCAACATGCAGAAAGATCTACCAAACTCGTTCGGTGACCCGTGTCTCACACGGAAGGGCTCGGTCTGGCTATCTTGCCTGCTTCACATGCTTCACTTAGTATGGAAACACTCCGTCAGAGCTCACAACAGGAGCTTAGGCAAGTGGCATTTCTGAGGCGCCTGTTATTGTTAGAGCCCTCTAACGGACCATGAATTTGGCTCACAGTAAATACTTTGCTATCATGTTTTTCTGCCTAGCGCCTCCTCTAAACTGCAGCTTTAACTGCGACCTGCCAGTGAATCACAAACAACCCTTTTGGCTTTGGCGCAGCCCTGTGAAACTCCCAACAGTGAAACGGTTTGAATTATTTTTGTATTGCAAGACACAAATCTTGTACACCTCGAGATGCAGAGGTGTACAAAAGGAGGCGGCACACACCGTTCTCGGCAGACAGCTGGCCCCGTGCTAAGGCGGCAGGGCAGTTTCGCTGCACCAGCAGAGCAGAAGCCAGCCTGCACTGCACAGTGGACGTGGTATTACTTGTTACATTCACAGAAATCGACTGTACTTTGGAGTGATTTCTGTGGATTTAATGGAATACCTCTGGTCTTTGACTGGCACACTGGAGGCTGCGGCATTGCTAGCTGGCTCCTTAATCTCATAAAATCCTTTAACACATTGAAAAAAAATCTCCCTAATACAAATCTCTGCAATTCTTTCAGTATTGTTTATTTTATTACAAGCATAGTTTAAGACAGAACAAAAACAATCATGGCAAAATCAAATTTTGAATAATTAAGAGACTTTACGAGCCTCAAATCTCAAGTAATCTTTTTGCTGGTTATGGTTGTGCAACCCAGTAACGACGTACCGATCCTTCACATCAACCTGTGGTGCTGCACTGTAACTCAGCACTCCTGCAGAGCGTCACGTTCAGCAGTAGTGCAGAGATTAAAAAGCAAATATGCTTCCTTCCGTTGTTTTATTGCTCTCTCATCTCACTGATAACGCAGCTTTTAGTCTACTCAAGTTATCCGTGAGTTTGGCAGAGACAAAACCAGCCCTTCTTGCCCTCCCCAATTACTGCATATCCACATAGATTCTGTTGATTTCAGAAAGCAGAATTAACAAAGCATCAATTAGGCTATTAAAAAAATATTTGTATGCAGGAAATATACTGACCCCTACAATTACTACATTAATAATCATTTACTTGTAACATTAATTGCATGACTCACAGTGCCTGAATTTTTGATTTAAAAACCCCCAAACATCCAGAACACAAAGGCCATGGGGCGGAGGTGTCTGAGGCCTTCAGACACACTGAGCTGGCTCTTACTTCAAAGGATGAATCATCAGAATCTGGTTCGTATCAGTAGAATTGGCCTGCACAATAGATGAGGCGAGTTAGCCTTTCCCTGGAGGTGTTTCCGTCTCTTGGCTACAGAAAAATAACGCAGCTTGGCCGCGAGCGAGCTTTTTACATTATATAAACGGAGCAAAACATGTTTATATAGCAAAGGTTTTCTGAAGTAACCTCAGGAAGTTCTCACAACTTAGCAAGCACTCTTTCTAGAGTTTCAGTATATATTTCAGTAAGAACAGAGACACACTTGCAGTATTTTCGCTTTACTCTATCCTTCCAATGTTGGTACAGAAGACAAACTCTGCAAGCCTCACCCCTACACGCCTGTTATTCTGGGCTGTATACGTCATTGCCACAAAGTTATACAGCTCCGTAAGCATAGAGCGAGCCTGGAGAATTCTGAATGCAATCAAACCCAAATATATTCGATACAGACATCAGAATCTGGAAACAATAAAAAGTATGGGCATAGTCACATGAGACCGACTGCCAAGAGAAAGTAACCATGTATAAATTACTGATATTCCCGGGGTACAGGTGCATCAGAGTGTTTTAGCCCCAAGTTCCTGGCTAGCCTCTGTTGTACAAACAACTGTCCTATTTTATACCAGCTCTAACAGAACGAAAAGCAAAACTTTTGATCAAGTCTTTGCAGCTGATGCTTAAAAAGAGCATCCTATCTTCAAGCACCGTGAATGGACTACAGGGGTTCTTGTTTGTTTCTAATTATGTGGCTTATTCATTAAAAGGTTAAACCCCTGCTGTATTTTTCTCACGCCACAATTTCACGCCACAGTCGGAGCAACAGCTCGGCTGTCAGGCTGGAGGTTGATCAGGGAATTGCTTGCTTGGGCCAGCTCTGCGATGGAAACCCGTCCTCTCTGTTTGATATACTGAGCCACGGCAGCCATCTCCTCTGGAGTGATGTAGATGAACTTTCCTCTGTCATCAATCACACCTACAGGGGGAAAGAAAGGACCTTGAAGTCAGCACTTTGGCTCCTCTCACTTCCCGACAGACATCAGTCACTTCTTTTGGAAGGGATGTTTAAACTGCTGAGGCTGCATTTCATATCTAGGGCAGGCAGAACAACGTGCTAGCAGTCGGGCTTTTATCTCCTCTCTACTGTTGGGTCTTTGAGCAGGGCTACGACAATACTCGAGTACCTTCGTAAGACTAATTTTGTTCAAAGTGACACATTCTTTTCATTGTACGCAGTCAGCTGGGAGTTTCACGGCAGCTACTTCAGGTATATAGTTTTGGTGCCGATGTTCTGGGCCCAGGCAGTTGGTGGAGAAAGGCAGAGCAGCAGGAGGGCCCAGGAGGTGATTCGGAGACCCTGTGGGGCCCGGCTCAGCCATTCCAACTTACCTTCTAAAAGGGAATGAAGCTCAATTTCCGTATTTCAGTTGCTCCATCAAGAGTGAGAATAGACCTCTGTTCTTAACGCATTACAGGATCAAATGCAAGGCAGAGCCTCACTGGCATGCCTTTTGGGCCACAGACACAGCCAGGACAGTACACATCCTTACACTTCGATTCAGAGCACTTTTAGGTCACTCGAACGGGTATCCACATGTACCCACCAAGATAGTTGTTTCCCAGCCATGACCACAATATCAGGTCAGTAAATGTTTGCGTTGGCACCTTCCCCTACTTCATCCTCAGAAAGAAAAAGACTGCCCAGTGATAAAACAGACTTGTTCAGACAGGGAGCTACCCACATGCTCGCTCTCTGCCTACATTCCAACTTTGATTGCATGGGTAGGTGGCTAGAAACAAGCACTTCACTTACTACAGCATCCTGGACTGCTCTGGGATGTTTGCTTCTCCCACAGCGTGCCCTACCCCAGTCCTGGCTTTAGCCACAGCACCTTTAAAACAGGCTTGCAAACTACCCCAAAACATCCAAGTGATTCTTTCAAATTCAGATTTCAGAAGACATCATTTGCAGCTGGCTGTTCAGCAACCCCTAAAGGCCTTCAGCAGGGCTCAATCAACACGCAGAAGCCTTGGGCTGGTTCCTGAACTGTTGGGGACGTTCACCCCCCACCTCTGTATAATGTATCATAGGAGCGATCGCATCTCATAGTGCTTGAAACAGTACTTTCATGGCCGCTGAAGCAGGGATAATAAAAATATCAAGTCCTACTAGGATCTTCTACAGTTTAAACCAGAAATTTCACTGCAAGTCTCTCTCTACCATAGTTAAAGCATTTTCTGCACCACCTATTCACCAGCTAAAATAAGGTCCCCTTTGTGTTTTGGCTGTCACCTGTTAGAGTGCCATCTGCCATCAGGTCCTGGATTCTGTTAATTGCATCCTGTTCAGAAGGGAAAAAGGAATAACAAACTGATCAAGAGGAAGGCAAAAAACATTTCACATGTTCAGATAAATTACAGATGGAGGCTTACATTTAATTCCTCAGCGTCAAAGACTTCAGTGAAGGATACACATCCATATTTCCACACAGACAGATGCAGTAAGCCCTTTGGTCTTAGAAGGATGAAGTGAGCTTCTGCATTTTGGGGTGTTCAAGTAACTTCCCTATCCCCAAAAGAGACTTTAATTGCTAAGTTAGCTGTCAGTTTTTATGGAAGGGGGGTGCTTATACACGTCTTCCCAGGGAAAGGCTGTACAGTGCCAATGCAACATGCAAGTTCCATGAAGTATACCGAGGTACTTCTCCAAGAACCTGGCTACACTCAATAAATACAAAAAGCTCTGGAATGTTTTTCTCCTGCTCCATCTAAGAGGAAACCTCTCTTACCAATCCAAATAACAACCTGTTGAACAGGTTAGGGACATGGTTTAGTGGGCATGGGGGTGTTGGGTTGACGGTTGGACTCGATGATCTTAGAGGTCTTTTCCAACCTTAACGATTCTATGATTCTATGAATTTATTGCTGCGTTAAGTCTATAGTTACTCCAAGCATGCAGTTCCACTACACCTTAAGCTAGTATCTAAGCCCTGTTTCCCACAGTTCTGCCTCTCTCCCTTTCTTGCCTTTATGTGACTGCAGAAGCAAGTTATAGTTTAGATTTCAACCAGATAAATTCCATTAACTGGCTCACTGCATGCTTAAATGAAGTTCTGGTTTAATAGAGAGGCAGGGGCACAGCAGCCTGGACTTACAGCAGTGTAAGCTGCTGTGAAGGGGCACCCCAAGATCAGATGAGGTACAGAACAACAGAAAACATTGGTCACTTGGAAATATACGTCAAATCTGCTCAAATTAAAATAAACCAAGCCACAACTATTCTTTGGAGTCAAAACATAAAATGTTTGGAGAACAGAAAGAGGACAGAGGGTAAAAAAAAAAAGTACACATATCACACCATGAGCTCACTTATAGGCTCATGACAGGCTTATATGGTGCCAAAAGAATATTACAATATTCTTAAGTGATGCACCAGAAGATACAAATTAGGGTGGTCAAACACTGGAACAGGCTTCCGAGAGAGGCGGTCGATGCCCCGAGCCTGTAGGTGTTTAAGAGGCATTTGGACAATGCCCTTGGTAACACGCTTTAACTTTTGGTCAGCCCTGAAGTGGTCAGGCAGTCGGTTGTTGTAGGTCCCTTCCAACTGAAATACTCTATCCTATTCTATAATTCTTAAATATTCTAAGAATACACAAGCAATTGGAGCAAAACACCTCATCTATTGATCGTCTGCAAACATAACAACATTGTCCAGTTATGCAGGCAGTGTCTGAATTTGCTTCTAGCTCTGCTTTTGATTCCCAAGTACCCTGAATTGCTCTATGACTAGACTTGCAAACGCTACAGGACCCATTAGCCAGCAGGCAGCGGTGCAAGAGGCAGACTGAAACACTTTTCACTGAAACAATCTTGTAAGCCAACAATCCTTCACTGGCTGGATGGTACTTTGATGAATGGCCACATTTTTTTAGGACTGATTTTGCTGAACTTCACCAAAATCCAAGCATTTTCCGTAATGCTGAGACACTTGCACAGATGTAACCCTTATTTACCCACTTCCTCTCCTGTCCTTTTAAACTCATTGCTTGTACTTGCACCTCAAAAGGTAGTACTTACCTGTGTTCTTAAACCCAAATGTGAAGCCAAGTCCTCCAGCTGGATTACCTTTGTTTTCTATGGAAACAAACGAGTTAAATGCAGCTGATGAATTAGAGGGTTAGCGTATTTCTTTTTCTTTCGAATAAAAAAATGCATTTAATAGACAAAGTAGAACCTGCCATTCTAATTAACTTTTCCTAGTAAGCACTTTTCTCTGACGGAAAACTCTAACTTAAGTTACTTAAAGCACTCTGCTCTGTGGAAAGCCTGGATGCTCTGACCCACTTAAGTGAAGACTCAAATACATTTGCCAGCGTTCATCCTGATCCTTTCCTTACGTTCGGAGGACAGGATGAGCACAAGCACAATAAACAGCCACGGCTCTGTTCTCCTTGCCAACTGAGTTTCTCAACTGCTACCTTTAATTTCCAGTATGCTTTAGCAAGATCCCTTTTTGTTTGAGAGATGTTTCAAAGTATCTTTCAAAATGATTACTGGTATGTATCAGCGCATATATAAAAATCCAGACAAGACTGGCAGCATTAAGTGCTTTAGTCTGTTTTACTAATGTCATGCGTATTAATGCCATAATAATCTTCCTAAGCAAGTGAACACCTTATTAAAATTGTCAGCGTTGGAAGCGTACTGCTAGCGCATTCCTGCGCAGGCAGCGCGATGATCTCTGAGAACAAAGGCAGAAGCAGGAACTGCAAATTTTCATTTCGCTTTTGACAGAGATTCTTCCTGCAGCCCTTCTCAGTCAGGACGCAGTCACCGCTGCTCACATCTGGTTTTATGCTTCTCGGTAGCTCCAGAGAATTACAGAGAAAACACCTGGTGCACTCGTCTGGAGCTACTTGGTTCCTGTTTTCTTGTCTGCAAAAGTTTTAGAAACTCATCTGTTTAGATGCAGTAAAAGGATGCACTGTTTATAAGGAATTTGGAAAATATAAAACCTTTGGAAACTGTTCAGTTAACATTCTGGACTACATTCCTAAGAGCCATATATGTACGGCCACAAGAGCTACATTTACATTATCAGACGCAACACTTCAAACAATAAATGCATTTGTTTCTGATCTTGAAAGTACACTGGAAGGACACTGAAGAAATAAAGCGAGGCTGAAATAGATGAACCTTTTTCATTAATAAAATCAGACAAAAAAAAAAAGCCACACACAGACTTAGTAGTTCTGAAGTTCGATGCAGCCAAGCTAGAGAACTGAATACCATGGACTGAACGCATGGAATTGGAACCAGTCCATGGAATTCAGTTCTCAGAGCTGGGAACTGCCAAGATTCGTCATGTCTTCTTTTAAAAGGATTGGGGGGGTGCAAAGCTACATAAACAAGAAAAACAGGATTTAAACTTTCACTTAAAGATATTCACCCTCAGTGACCAAGTTTAGTGGAAGCTTTCCAAGATAGATCCTGCTGTGAATAAGAGCCCAGAGGGTGGGGTGGAATTAGGATGCATTCCCCACGCACACTCTGAAATATAATGACACTGTGAGGTCCCAAGCGAACAAAACACTTCAACACATGCTTCATGATTTACAGACAGGCTTAACTTTCATAGAGCAACATATACACGTCTACATTTTACTGAATTAATTTAATTTTAGGTATGATTCTGCTGCTGTCCTCAGCAAGGGATGAAACAGACCAAGAGCTCTCGGGATTAAGATGAGTAGGACTTTTTTTCCTTATCTAGGAAGCATCATTTTTCTTAAAGAAAAAACAGGAAGGGGTAAAGCCTCCGAGTCCTTTGCTATCCCTTTCAAATGTAGTGAAAAATGGAGTTTGCTGTTTCAATTCACTGGCTGTAATTCAGATGGATTCAGTGATACACTGTCAAGCTGGGTGAGAACAGTCTGATGGACAAAGCGCAGGCTTATATTTCCCTGGGCCAACAGAGCCAGTGCTCCACAGCAAGGGAACTGCTCGGCCGCTCTTTAACCTCTGCCCACTTCATTATTATTATTACTTTTACTATTATTATTATTATTATTTAAGTGCTCAGAGAGCCCACAGAGCTGGTTCGTAAGGTGTGTTGTGCAGCTACAGCCCTGCTGAGTAAAACCATAAGGCTCCCATTAAGAACTGGTTATTCTGCTCCCCTGAGAGCAGAGCAGTCAAGTCCGTAACCTGAGGACCGGCCACTGTAAGAAGCAAACACAGAGGATGGCGACTGCAGCAGAGACAATGCCACAGCCTGAGGGGTGAGGTGGTGACATTGCAGCAGTCAGACTGAGGCTGAGGGGCTATTATGAAAGCCCCAAAGGAAGGGAGATGCTCAGCTTTCAGAAAAGCAGAATTGGGGGGCGTCAAACCTTTTGGTGCCTTTGAGAAAAATCCCATTTAAAACAATCCCACAAGGCAGAGCTGGAGAAAAGAGGCTGCATTTTATTTCAAAAACCCTTAGGTGTTTGAAGCATGGGGTGAGCTACCTCCAGCCAGTTATACCAGTAAAATAAGTTATTCAACAGAAGAGCTAAATTAAATTTTATTTTTTAAAAGTGCCAATCGCTCTTTTAATTTATAAGTTTTTCAGACAGCTACTAGCAGCTTAGCACTGCTTCTTGATATAAGACAACGATTTCTGTGAATAGAACAGATGAGGGCTATACATAATCTATATATTAAGCATACTTTCAAGATTTAAAAAAAAAAAAAACACAACCTAAAACTTGTAAAAGAAAGCAATGCCCCAGTTCTGCAACTCATCTCTACATAGGAAATCAGGTGTTGAAGCGCTTCTGAATTAGGTTTTCAGCCCGTGCTTAATTTCTCTGACGTCAGGTAGAAGTGACTAATATAAAACTATACATGTGTGCTTAAACACTGAACTGAGAGTTTGTGACTAATCTGTTCCATCTATCACAACCACCGGGGCAATGTGCAGAATCAGACCCTACTGCGTTATCCCTTGGAAACCCTCCCAGTTTTCATGGAAGGTGCCAAGGAACATTGGAATATCCTGTTGTTCTACCTACTGTTATCCTAGGGCAGCTTGTTTATCAATAAAGCACATTTTCCTTAATCCGCAGCTTGGCAGTATCTTGAAAGCCTTAGATGGGAAGAGCTGAACTGGGATCACACCGTACCATGTAGTCCATTTCCACAGACAGTAACTGAAACAGAGGGTGGTCTTAACAGACATGGCCATTTCAAAGAAATCTCTCTGGCTTCTGCAGAAAACAGAGCATTGAAATCACTGCATGGCCGCAAAATGAGATGTGCCATCCGATGGTTCATTGTCGCTCCATGGTTTTACTTAGGCTCTTTAAACATGCCACCCAGAGCTTTTCCAATCTGTTCTCAGCTGTCTCATCCGCTTTTGGCGGTGCTTCTGCTCCGAGTTGACTGGCTTATGCTGGGGACTTGGTTAGTGAACAGCCGCTATTTTCATTTGGGCTGCAGCAATGAAGAATTATCCGAAGTCTGAGTGCTACTAGCTTACACATTTCCAAATTACCTCCAGAGATCATGTTGATCAGAAAGCACTTGACAGATGCAAACCTAGCAGCCTCTCTTGCTGTGGCCTGATGGCGATGGCACAGTCACCACCACAAGTCCCAGTGACACGGGAGGCAAAGAGCAGCACAGCAACGGATGCTTGCACCGCAGCTTTGCAGCAACTCTAGAACCATCGAGCCATTGTTCAGACTTGCATGGCAATCACTCAAATTGACTCCCTGCGGAGAGTTACCCATGAGACAAATCTGTTTTTGCTGGGGTAATGGACATGCAAAACTGGCCCAGAGTCCAGAGATTCTGGATTAACAAAATGATTAGAATGCTGCTAAGTGTACAAGTGATTTGCTTACTAATGAAGCCTTTCACATGCATGCCATACATTGTCAGATAAGAGTCCAATTTCCAGTAAAGGAGGAAAGGGATTAATTAGGACAAAAGATTTGCATAACATTGTTAGAGTAGAAAAATGCATTTGAACTTTGATATACCAATAGTGGAGAAAGAAGCATTTGTCCTTACAGAGCAGAAGTGGAAATCCTCACGAACACACCACAGGTTTTAAATAACTAACCATACAATATGATGAAAGGGAGACTAACACACCCTCTTAAAAACAAGTGACCTTCTCCTTAAATATCCCTTCCAAACATTAAGACAACATTGCACATCGCACAGATAAAAACAAGAAAAGAAATCGCATGAAAAGTTGGATTGACCTTTACCACGCCAGTGTTTCAGACACAAATGCATCCTGCACGGCAGGCCACATGCTGGTGCAGCAATTGTCATTCATGCTGAGCTGAGACGTAGAGGCTGTTTTCTAAATCAGTAGCTGATGTTCACACACAAAAAGCCTGAATGTCCCAAATCCCAATCAACAGCAAACACTGCTGTTCATCAATTCTGGGGGTCACCCACATGTTCACACACAAAAAGCCTGAATGTCCCAAATCCCAATCAACAGCAAACACTGTTCATAAATTCTGGGGGTCACCCACCAGGCGCAGAGTTTAACACGCCTATCCTTATGAAAAAGGGTAAGAGCTACAATCCTGCCCCAAAAAGCCAAGACACAGCTATAATTACAAACCATTTTAACAATGATGGACATGCCCATGCATGGTTAAGTAAATAATGCAGACTTTATCTAAGGTATCACTTTTGTTACTTGTTGAATATTTAAGTAAATCAAAGAGGAAGTAAAGATTTCCCTTCTTTCTGCAACTCAGCTCTTTGACAAAGATATTTTACACAATCTAACAAGTATGGAAGGAGGAGAAAGACCAACGGTAGCTTACCTTAACGTATTCGAGAAATTCCATGAGAAAGCTGCGAGACTGGATACAGCAAGGAAAACAATTGTTATTTTAAACTCATGAACATTAAATGCATCGCAAACTTGCTGAGGACAAATATTATAAAAGTGTTTAGCTTGCATACTTCCAAAGTTTTAAACATACATACCGAGGGAGATTTTGAACTGGAAAAAAAAAATACCTAGATTTAATCTTAACTAGGAATTTATGATAGGTATTTTCTAAGACAGAACATGGCTCAATTACAACTTGTGTTTAAGTATTTTCTGAAAGGAAATCTTTGACTCTTTTATTCTTCACATCATATATACCCTGAAATAACCACATCTGGGTGAGTTTGTGCATCATGTATTAAGTTACATATACACACTGAGGACATTTTGTGCAGAGGTGAAGTACAGAGTGGTTCAGGAGACAGCTCATGCAGATGGTCAAGTGTAGCACACAGCTGTGCAGCACATGTGGAAGCTCAAGGCATTTTCAAAGCTATGCACCTGAAATCCAGCATTTTAATATAAGCGGCTTAATTTTCAAAGGCAATGCAAACAATGTGCATTTAAGTTAACAGGAGATCGAGTTACCCTGCAACCCTGGAAACCAATCAGCCTTAATTAACTGCTTAGCTCTGGACTCGGGACCTTAATTTTCAGCATGAGTTCCAGCACGCTAGCCTCAACAACACATGGCAGAGCCATCTATTGTAACAGGATACTAAAATGCTTCAGTACATTATCCACCACAAGGCCGAAGGGTGGCTTGCCACTTCTGCGAGGCTGGTGTCTCCAAATAACTATGTACCTGTGATTGTTTCTGAAGACGACTTTCAAATAGCCTACTATTAAAGTTCTATCTCCCCACTCCTACCAAAGATATCTTATGTTGAGATCCAGGCATCATCAACTGCCTGCCAAGCTCTTTTGAGTGAGGAACACCCTTCTTTGTTCCCACCTACAGAAAGATTAATTTCTCCTTGACAGGCAGCTGTAGGAACACAGACAATAAACACATTCTAGCTTTAAAGGGTATCTAAAGTGGAACAATTTAATATTTAGATATCATCTGGTTTTCAACAGGATAGGCACACGTTTTTGAAGGAACTTTCAATAGGAAGTACGCATTTTGCTGTTCTCTGCATCTTAGGAGACTGCCCATCACCAGATACACTTCTCTTGGTGTTAATCCCGGCATGATGGAGGAATTTATCTCAATGGGAAGGGGTCCATAGTGAGAACTTGTGACTAATGTCAAGCAGTATTGACTCACTACAAGCTCCTCAGCCCAAAGCCACTCTCAGTCACGCTAAGTGCAAATCCATTCAATTCAACAGGGTCGCTTAGCAGAGGAGCAAATGCACACATGGCCCTGAAAAAAATACTTATGAAATGCATTGGACAGCTCAAATTCGGCAGCTACAACCCAAGGACAACTTCAGCATCTGACAGCAATTAAAATTAGTCTAACAGGTTTTCAGCAGACAGAATAAGAACACTGCCTCCCACAACAGCGGAACTTTTTCAAGTTTGCTGTGATATTATGTCAAGTGTCACATTTCAACCACCATCCCCAGCAGCGCGTCTGCAGGCAGCCACAGGAGGAGCATGCTAGAACGTTATGCAGAGTTTGAAATGCTATCAACCATAGCAATCATTTGCAACACTGAATGTACAGTTTTCCAGCGTACGACCCACAAGCACCTAGGTTGTGTCCTGTGAATTCTCTTAACAGAAGCCTTTTAAGACAAGAGCTTGGTTTTTCATTTGATTTCACAGCAGCTTTGTTGGTCTAGAAAATAAAACCAAAACCAAGCAATTCCTCCCAGTATATGTGGGCACTACCAAACTCCATATTTAGCCTTGCTTTCATCTGGCCCACTGCATATGGGCAGAGCAAAGCTGGCAACAGTAAAAGAGTATCTGACTTCCAGGATGAGTTTTATTTCAGTCCTTACGCTAAGGGAGAACTCATTTCCAGCAATATGCATTTGCGTTAGTGCTCTAAACTAACTTGTAGGAGTCTGGAATGAGGGACTGTAGCATTCCCCAGGAAATACTCCAGGTTAATGCATGCCATATACACAATTTAGCTTTTACAAGCAAAAACATTTGGCTGACTCCTACTTTCAAGTTCATTTAACACGAGACAGAATGCAGTAAGGGCAACCCGAGTCTAACAAAGATAAAGGAAACTGTAGTAACAGCCTAACATGCATACCTCTTCCTCTGTCATTGATTCTTCAACGCCTTCCTCTTCAACTACAAAACTCTCCTTCAGCTTCAGGTACTCTTCATACTCTCTCTTCTCCTCTTCTTCCTTTGCCTTCCTTTTTTCCTCTTCCTGAACAGAAAAGATGACAAGTGGTCAGTTTGCTCCTCCCCAAATCAGGTTTAGTTTTAACTAAAGGAGCATCTTCTTTATCTGCAGTCTGGTTTTACTAGGACAGACAGCAGAGAAAAAGTTTCCAAAAAGGAGTCTAAGTTCTCCCTTGACGGCATCATTAATTTCAGAAGCTACCCTTAAGGTGGTAACCACCTCACATGGTAGCATAAGCTTGCACACAATACACCTAGGCTGGTTCTTAACAGATCTGACTGTTAAGAAGGGGAGAAAACCACTCTTATATAGCAACCTGCTTTCTTAATTTGCATGAATATGTTTCTTCTGCAGATCCTGTGACAGGAAGTCCCTGCCCCTAACTGTACTTTGATGCAACATCCACATTTTCAGTAACTGGCCCCAATTCTGCTCTGACATACACTAGTGTACATTGGGAGCGATCACAAAGAATAGTGGAGTTACAGTGGTGTCCATCCGTGGGTGAGAAGAAGCTGGCCTGTAAAAGAGTTTCAAGTAAAATCTCCTTCTTATGACATACAAGCAAACTATGTCTACATGGAATGTAAAGAACCCAATACAGCATTTCAGGCATAGGAGACAAGGTATGATTGTATTAAAAAAAGGGGGTTTTTACATGTTTGATTGTTAACCAAAACCTACAGGCTCTGCTTTTAGTTATTTGCAATATTTTCAGTTAACTACCCTGAAAGAAATGTTAAAGTCTTAAAAAAAAATAATAATGCCGCCAACCCAGAAAACTCCAAGCCCAACATCAGTGAAATGGTGATGCATGCTAGGTAATGTGGAATAGTCACACATTCACACAGCAAAACTGTGATTAAAAGTTTTGGAATGTGATAGATTACTTAAAAAATGTTTCAAGTAAGAACAGGTTTTTACTGGGAGCTCATCAATTTGCAGCTTTCCATGATTTTCTTTTAAAATTTGTTTTGCTCTTCTCCAAAATACTTTACACATGTAACTTCACACAGAAGAAAAATGTTTCCTTACACAATGGTTTCTTCCACACAAAAATTGATGTTTGTACAGCACCTGGTGCAATGAGATTCCAATTTGACTGGCCTCTGGTTGCTATCACATTGCAAAAGCTTGATTAAAACTTAGAAAGATGAGTTCTTCAAATTTCAGTGACAATCTCTGGGCATCCCTTTACTATTAGCACAGGAACTGATCTCTTAAAGAACAATTATATTGATTTTTAAATGCTTGCCATGCTGCATCTTTGACACTAATATGGTAATTGCTTCCTTAAATGGCTGGAAAGCAAACACTTGTTCCATTAAAACAGGAAGAGACAGGAACAGGTAATTAAGTATATTGAAAAATGTCCGTATTAAAAAAGATGCCATGTAAGGCCAAAACCAGCAAGATACCAGAAATGGTCATGGGAGGGTTGCCCTTCAATAAAAACGGAAGAGAAAATGTATTCGGTCCCAACGGTATTTAATCAAGCTCCCAGAAAGTCACAAGAAGAAATGCTACCACAATACACATATGAGAAAAACAGGACTGAAGGATCTTACTGTATGTGCAAAGTCAAAACCATTTTTTTAAACCGCCACCTCATGAGAAAACTAGACCTGAGGAAGCTCTTGAGACAAAACAAGACCATTTTCTGGGTCATTCATCACCGTAACGATTATTAGCAAAAGCCCAACAGTAGATTTTTTTTTCTTATAAGCACTACAGGTACCAAGAACAACATAATCATATTTCATTTGGAAGTGACAGCAATTATTCTTTTCTTGTAAATGCATTCAATTTAATCTTGATCCTGGAAATACAAGAATAAGGTTCTTCCCCCGGTCTATTACAGAGGTTGTAATTCAACAGGATTTGAAGTGAGAAAAAAAATAAAAATCACAAAAATTCGAAACTGCTTTGGCAAATGATTTCTAGATTGTTCTTAAAAAAAAAATAATCAGAAGACAGTATCCCGTTTACAACTGAGAGCAACGGTAACTAAGAAATATTTTCCTGTTTCTGGAAGGTCTAACAACAAATGAACAAGACTCGTTCCTGTCTTCCTTACCTACTTGAAGAACAGTCCCTTCGATTTTATTAAAGCATACCAGCACATTAATATCAGTACTTCCATTTCCAACATATGCAGATAAGCATCTCTGCTGTGAGACTGGCAAAGCACTCACTTACCAGTCCCTCTTTTGTGGTGTCCCTAAAAGCCAACATGAGTTTGTTTTCCAGATCCTAAATTTTGATGCTAGCAGAGCATTTCCAGGTGGTCTGAACCACTGCTTTGGTAGCTAAAGCATGTCAGCCCTCAAAGCCTCATGTCTGTGGTGGTTGTAGCCTCCTCCACAACACTAAGTATTTCCAGACATATGAGAAAAACAGGACTGAAGGATCTTACTGTATGTGCAAAGTCAAAACCATTTTTTTAAACCGCCACCTCATGAGAAAACTAGACCTGAGGAAGCTCTTGAGACAAAACAAGACCATTTTCTGGGTCATTCATCACCGTAACGATTATTAGCAAAAGCCCAACAGTAGATTTTTTTTTCTTATAAGCACTACAGGTACCAAGAACAACATAATCATATTTCATTTGGAAGTGACAGCAATTATTCTTTTCTTGTAAGTGCATTAAATTTAATCTTGATCCTGGAAATACAAGAATAAGGTTCTTCCCCCGGTCTATTACAGAGGTTGTAATTCAACAGGATTTGAAGTGAGAAAAAAAATAAAAATCACAAAAATTCGAAACTGCTTTGGCAAATGATTTCTAGATTGTTCTTAAAAAAAAAAATAATCAGAAGACAGTATCCCGTTTACAACTGAGAGCAACGGTAACTAAGAAATATTTTCCTGTTTCTGGAAGGTCTAACAACAAATAAACAAGACTCGTTCCTGTCTTCCTTACCTACTTGAAGAACAGTCCCTTCGATTTTATTAAAGCATACCAGCACATTAATATCAGTACTTCCATTTCCAACATATGCAGATAAGCATCTCTGCTGTGAGACTGGCAAAGCACTCACTTACCAGTCCCTCTTTTGTGGTGTCCCTAAAAGCCAACATGAGTTTGTTTTCCAGATCCTAAATTTTGATGCTAGCAGAGCATTTCCAGGTGGTCTGAACCACTGCTTTGGTAGCTAAAGCATGTCAGCCCTCAAAGCCTCATGTCTGTGGTGGTTGTAGCCTCCTCCACAACACTAAGTATTTCCAGAAGCTTTTTCATCTACTAACTAAAAATCCCAGCCACTTCTTGCACAGTCTCACATGCTTTACTACCTAAATTCACCTATGATTCAACCTGTAGAAAAAGAAGGACTTAGCCAAACTGCAAACTGGTTCAAAGCCAAGAGGAGAGATGACTTTGCATAACTGCACTGGGAGAAGCAACCAGCAACAGCAGTGGAAGCTGAGCAGGGGGAACCCTAGCGAAATCAGGCTGTCTGTTAACACTTATTCTCAGCTATTTTTTTCACCATCATGCTAGCACTCTTCTTTCACATGCCCAAGTCATGCAGCAATTGCATGGCAGGTGCAGGGTCAAATTTAGGCAGGTTGCATTCCCACAAAAAGAAGACTGTGTGTATAACCTGCACACAGAGACACTCTCAGCACCCCAGGGTCTACTTATGAAACAGAGACCAGTACTTGCTTCATGCAAGTCATACAGGGGGCACTTGGCTCAAATACAAGTTTAAAAAAACCCACATCTTTGTTAGTCAGGTTTCTTTGCCTCTCCCCATTCTGATCTCATTAACTGCTGTGGAGTTAAGTGGTAAAGCTTGCGGCAGGCTCAGAGGCGAGATAATAGCTGGGCCACCTTCCTTCAACGATGGGTGGGGTGGTGGGGAAATCCCAGCATCATGGAAATTTGGTAACTGCAGATGCTCACCTTCAGCTGCTTGCCTTTTTTTTTTTTTTTTTTTTGAAGCAGGTTTGCCTCTCTCCTCACCCACCTAAATGTTACCCAAACAGGGGGCTTGCTACAGTGTAAAGATTTCTTTTTGATCAGTTTACTGTACTGCATGTGAAGAACAAACTCTCCCACTTTGATCGTGTCTTTATTGGGAAAAAAAAATAAAATTCATCACTCAAACCTTTCTTCCTTCTTTCCTGTTTCTGACAAAACATCCACAATTATCACTGCTGGATCGACTCTACCTCTGCATGCTTGCTATGAGTCTCATGTGCCACCTTGCGTGGCAGAGACCCAAGGGCTTCCAGAGCTCCATGCAGTCTGCGGATCTCCAGCACTCTGGGAGACACTTTTCAACACCCTTACCCCTTCCTATACCGGATCTGGTCAGCACCGACTTCCCACTGCACCCAGTCCCAGTCCTCCCACTGGTCTCCAGGCTCCCTCCATCCCACCTGCCCACCAAAGACCTGGATTTGCTGTGAGGCTCCTTTCAGATCATTACCTTCTGTTCGCCTCTTACCTTGATCACAATGATTATTTCCATGACATCAAAAAACATTAATTGTGCCAACTGCACAAGAGCCCAATCTTTTTCCAGGTGAAACGCACAGCATCTTGAAAACTCTTTTAGCCTTACAGCTGGAAGCAGACCTTGACTCTTGGGATCACAAATCCCTCTGGAGTCCTGGGATGCTGCTTGAGTAACTGCACTGCTCTGGCTGGCTGACAGATTACTGCCTTTGAAGGTTTATCATGCATTACTATTTTTAGCAAAGGGTGGGGACCCTTACAGTACAGTCCAGCAAGAAGATATTGAACTACTGTTTCTAGCTTTCATTGCAGTAACCCATTTAAGGCGGCACTGAGACTAAGCGATATTGGGGGGCTATAGAGTAAGTAGCTTTTCTGAGAGCTTTGCCTAAGCAGCTTTCCCAGAGAGGAAACCGCTAGTTGTGCCCTGTGCCATCTCTCCTCCAAATCAGATGAAGGACCGACTTGCTGACAAACAAATCATTTATAGGCAGCTTATTCGACTGCTAAGTGGAGGAGATCTCATTGCTAGTGAGGAAAGTAGAGCAAACACTGG